CATGCTCAGTATAAAAACTAGGGGCGGGGCGGGGGTTCTCCCCCACCCTGTTCGTGACATGTGGTCAGCAGTCGGTGAGCAGTTGCATTGTGGATCACCTGCTTTGTATATTCTGTAATTGTTGTTGTTAGCATTGTTATTATTAGTGTACTACTTTGTTTTATTTCAATTATTAAACTGTTTTTATCTCAACCTCCCAGTTTTTCTACTTGTGCCCTCCCGATTCTCTCCCCATCCTATTAAAAGGGGGCTGGGGGGGTGAGCGAGCAGCTGCATGGTGTTTTATTGCTGGCTGAGGTTAAATCATGACAATACTGTATTTGATCAGTGGTCAGAGGCAGTGACAGCTGTGTTGCAGAGATGAGTTGATGAGTCACTGAGCCTACTGTAAGAATGTGCACTTTGGCAGCCTCAAAGGCAGTAAGTTCTCTGTTTTCCAGGCTGTGAAATCTGCAGGAGAGGAAAGGAAACCCATACATGTGGCATTTCCAAGACAGCAAGGTGTTTTAGTCCTAATTTCTGTTGCTTAGTGGGGATAAACTGCATTGAGTTACACTGCTGCAGTTGTTGCAGTGCAACATGGATTGTGTCTCTACCTTTTGTCAGCAGTGCATAGAACATGTGAATAGACTGTTTTCTTTACGATGTATCTATCCAAGCATTTTTGAAGGGTGGGAAAGTAGAGAGGTTTTCTTAATCTGTAAGAAAACCAATACTAAGGATGGAGCAATGCCAGTATATATTTGCATGTACATAAAAGCCATGCAATAGGTAGCAAAGGGTGCAGCCCATCATACCATGATCTACAGTTGTTCATTTTAGTAGGGTCCTCCTTCATTTTAGCCACCTCCAAAGGTGGCTTTACTTTGGTATTTCACTATTTGAAGTTATGTTAACATGCCAAACCATGAATAATTTTATCGTCTGCTATTAAAATCTTAGGCTTCTGTAGCTTTCTTGCTGTTATTTTGATTCTCGGTGGTGATATATTTAATATCCTTTAGTTAACTCTTTTCATAGTGATACTTCAGTACTTTCTGTATTTTTATTTTTTTTCTTAGAGTGATTTTAAGCATAGGCAACAGTCCATCATTTTTCATCCCATTTTCTTTCCTCTGTTTATTTTTTGCTGCAGAAAATAAGTGTGAGGTTCATTTTCATTTTTCAAACTGGTGCTCTTGGCCTTGAGTGTTCACTGTCCTTTTTTTTTCTCCCTAGGTCACAATGGAATACAAGGAGAGTAATGGTGCAGTGGAGCCCATCCGAGTGCACACACTTGTGATTTCAGTACATCATGCCCCGGACATACCTCTACAACAAATACAGAAGGAGCTAATGGAGAAAGTTGTTAAAGAAGTAATTCCAGAGAAGTATCTTGATGAGGGCACAATTTACCATCTCCTTCCAAGTGAAAAGTTTGTAGAAGGCGGTCCTAAGGTATGGTGCTTTGAAAGAGGACAGCTTATACAGGCTTGGATTCTACTTTGCCACATGCTTCTAAATGTTCTCTTGAACAGAAGTGCAATGAACCGGTATAACTTTAACCAAGAAAATCTGTACATTTTTAAGGAAGCTTCAGTAATTTCTATTGGAGTTTTCCTACTGGACAGCTGGCATTTAAACTGAAGCTGTACCTGCTTGAGCAGCCAAATGTACAGATTCTTGGATCTTTTTCTTCCAGAAAGTATTTTAAATGACCAAAACCCAGCCCTTAAGTTATACGCTAAAATGCCTGACTGGAAGTATCTCTTCACTTTCACAGTAACAATCAAAACCAGAAATAACAACAGGTCTGATCTTCTACATTGAAATTATTCACAAAGCGGAAAAAACTTCAAGGGAGACCTTAATGTATTAAGTCTCAATACTCATTAGAATTTGACACGTTCTGCTTTCCAGGTGCTGGTACTAGGTAAGCAGGTCATTGCTGTGAAATTGTAAAAAGTTTTGTTACACAAAACTGTCTAGTTTTGTATGAAAAGTTCAATGAAGGATTAAAACTACAAGGTGTGCTTATGAACACACTGGGATGATGTAGGGATACCGCTTTCATTGAGGAATAAATGTCAGCTTTACTCCCATACTGCTTATCTGAGGATTTAAAATTAGTGGATTAATGCAGTTTATCCTCTTTCAGGATGGAGTATCTCAACACTCTGGAGATCATTTATCAGCTTGCAGTCACCAGCTTTGCTAATCTGACAGAAAGGCAGTAATTCTCTGCTGGTTGAACAAGTTGGATCAGCTCATCAAATTGTAGCAGGCAGACAAAAGTCCATGCAACAGGGTGGGACTCCATTATCGGGGGCACAGGCAGGCAGGAAGAAGAAAGAAGAGTAGTACCAAGCAGTCCTTGTGCCACGAGTGAACCATTAAGGTGAACTCAGCTAGAATTTCTCAGTATTCTTGTGCTGGCAGCACTGAGCTGCAGCTCTCTGAAGCCCCCGCTTCCTCTTTAGTATGTGTATCTAAGTGAAGCTTGTTAACCTTTTAGGTCATATGTGATCTGTTTTTCAGGAAGTCTTTTGTCTCTCTAAATTCTTGGCCTCCATCAAGTGCTACTGAGTGAAGTCATTGGCCAGTAATCCAGAGGTAGTATTTTATGTTTGCCGATTTGAAGGGAGCACACTCTTTGTGATGTTTACAGTTGTGCCACATTCTTATCAGTCTTCAAAAGTGACTGCAGCACAGACGGCTTAGTACATCTCTGAAAAATACTCCAGTCACGTAGACCTCATTCATTAAACAGTTGCATGTGAAGGCGAACACTGTGAACAATGAGTCTCATCTTCGGCAAATACAAAACAAAGTTGTACCCAATATGAGATTGGGTAAACCGTTGTGTCTCATGAATGTATTCAATTGTTTGTCCTGCAGAGTGATGCTGGACTGACTGGCAGGAAGATCATTGTTGATACCTATGGAGGCTGGGGAGCCCATGGTGGAGGTGCATTCTCTGGAAAAGATCCCTCCAAAGTTGATCGTTCTGCAGCATACGCAGCTCGCTGGGTCGCAAAATCCCTGGTGAAAGCTGGTCTCTGTAAAAGGGTATTAATCCAGGTAAGAGCAACCGTAAAAGTAATATATCGTAACAGAAATTCTGTCTCGTGTGTCTCATGTCTCAGAATACATACTACCATCACAGCCCTGCTCCAGTTTCAGAAAAGCATTTCTCATACTAGAGTGGAGCTCCAGGAAGTTTCTCTTGGGGGTGTGTTGTTAAGTAGCCCTATGAGGGAAGCCAAAGACACAGGCCAGGATGGTCCTGAAACAAGGAGTGTGTTCTCCGTAGTATTCTTTCTCCAACTCTGTTGCCATCCCTGGGCTAGGTACTTCTTTGCATCACCCTTGCTTTTACCTCCAGCAATTCTAGTGATCCTCTGCACGCACGTGCATGCCCAGCACTCCAACCTGGGCTGCGCAGCACGTTACAGACAGTTATGTTAGCGGTGTCTAGACGTAGTTGTGCAACCTGCTGTACTATGTGGTCGTATTAGTTGTAACTTAAACCATTTTAAGCTGTATTTGAAATTACCTGAAGTTACTGTGAGTTCTCTACTGTGTGTTCCTAGTATACTACGATGTGAGGTGTGACTAAAAGCAAAATTAAATTGTTTTTAGAAGTTTAAAACAAGAACAACTTTCATCAGTCTTATATGCTCGGAAGAAATTCACTTCCTTCCTTGTGCATGAGTTTTTGGGACTACTAAGTCTAAGAAGTTGAAAGACATGTTTTATTGACCCCTAGACAGTTTCACCATTAAACATGAACCCAATGTGAATGCTAAACAATAGAGGTTTGTCTAAGCAGCTTGCAATCCTAGCTTATACACATACTCATTCTGAGTAGCTGCTATGTAATACTTGAACCCAATACAACAAATTACTACAGTAAAAAGTAGCAGTGATCTGGCTGATGTTTTGCTGCAGAGGTGTGTTTAAAACCTTTTACTTTCTCCGTGGACCAGAGGAGAGGCCCACTGCATGTGGTTATGATCAATGACATAGTATCCAGACATCCCAATTAGGAACAAGGTCCCTTGCTTTAGATGTTGTGCATCTGTTTGATACCTGATTAAACATAAAGTTTGGAGTTAGTCAAGGAAAGGGGAGATTGGGAATAAGCCAAGCACAAATAGTGATTGTTAGCCATAATTTTATTATGATTATAGATATTTTTTTTTTTCCTGAGGGACAGAAGACAAACTTCTGATTTCTTGGTATGCACATTTTTAGTGGCATTTTTGAACACATACATCACTGTCTTAATTCTTGAGTTAGGTGGGAATGTTGTTATTCCAGTAATTCCCAGAGACCCTCCTTCAATACCTGGGTCTGACTTTAGACAAGGCAAGATTGATTTTGTTAACAGCAAACTATGGAGATAACAGATATTAGCAATGAAGAAGATGGGAGGAGAGAGGAGGATGGGAGAGCAGAAGAGCGAATGTCCTGTGAAGTCATAGAAGGCTGGATTAAAGATTAATAAAAGGAAAAATGTATCAAGTGGAAAAGCAAAAGTGTTTTCAGCCCATTAGTGTCTGTGGGCTACATTAAGATCTTGCCAGCCTCCTCTGCTATGGATATTGTTTCCATGCTAACCACCTTTTCATACTGAAAGAGCAAAATGGATAATGGAGGGAACTGCAGCAATTTAGCTGGATATTATCACAAATATCATGTAGGCTTTATTTAGTGTGATACAGAATTGTTAGCTTACTGGTTAATGAAAAACAGACTTAGCAGATCTCAAAATTAGCTAATTTTGAAAATTGATTTTTGTTATCCTAATCATGACTATTTTCAAAATAGTCATGATTAGGACAGTTTCTAACAAAAATCAATTCTTGATACTAAGAAGTATATAGATAGAATCGAGCCATTGGACTATTACTTCTTGAAATCTGTAGAAAGCAGAGAAAATGAGAAAGACCAGTGAAAGCCACAGAATGGTTTGCGTTGCTTACTGACATTCAAGCAAAACATATTTTCATCCAAATACACCATGATGGAAGAAAATGAAGCAAATGTTAGCCTATACTGCAGCAGGACTGTATTTTGGAAAGGGACTGAATGATAAAAGCAAATACATTTCAGGAGAACCTGTCAGTGCTGTGCTGTGCAGTGCTGTGGTGAAAAGAAGCTAATGTGATTCTTGGATGTTGGAAAGGAGCTATAGAGCTCCTCTGTCCTCCTTTGAATGAAGTGAAATTACAGGGAATACTTCCTGCGTTACTTTGTCTACTTCTGATAGCTGGGTTTTAAAAAGTACATGGAAATATTGGATGAAGTTCCAGGGAGTGCATGGAAATAACTCACTCGGGGAAAACAAATCTGTGAGTGCTCTAGAAACATGGAGCTTTTTCTCATCTTGTCCTAGATAATCTTTTCTCTGCCTCAGCAAAAAAAAAAAAAAACCCACCAAAAAAAACCCAACCCAAAAATATTTGTAGATCTCAGAGTCTCCCATCTCAAAGGCATGAAATCCTTGTGTCTAGCTGAGGCTGAAGGATGTAGAATGGCAGTATCTGAGGACGATTAGAAAGAACTTCCTTTAAGGAATGTCACTTAGGTCTGACATTTGACCAGGCTTAGCATTCTCTGAGGAAAACAGATAATTTTCTAATATAAAAGACAAATAACAAAACCGTATCTCCTAACTTTCTTTATGCAGAAAAGGTGTCTGTAAGATCTTCCCCTGATACATAAGATAAGCCTTTCCTTTCTCTTAAGCAAAAAGTAGGAAGGACTGTTTTAACTGTGTTTGAGTTGTATGCATGTGTTCTACAGCTATCATATGCTATCGGTCTGAGTCATCCTCTTGCGATCTCAGTGTTTCATTACGGAACATCAGACAGATCTGAAGAAGAACTGCTTGACATCGTGCAGAAAAACTTTGATCTACGCCTTGGAGCTATCATAAGGTTTGTGTGCTATTAGTGTTTACTGAAGGGAATAATATTTTTAATGCTCTCTTTAACAGTTTAATGTTAAAGTTTCTGGCTCCTAACCTCATGAAAGTCACCTGCATGATAAATCTATAATTCCTGTCATTTCTTCCCTCACCCATGCACCCAGTACAACATACAAGGGCCAATTCATAAATCTGGTCACAAAATGTACTGAATAAGTAAGACTGGTCTAAATTATACCATGTTATATCTCCCAGTAACCCTGGTAGTGTGCTATGTTGCATTCATTAGCCAGGTGGCAGTGTGCTTGGTAAAGTAGAATTAAAATTTAACATTAGATGTAGTTAGGCTTTCCAGTCTGTCTACAGGGTGTGTAAGGCTCCCAATCCCTGCCTTATCTGGAAGGCACCAGAAATATTGGCTCTTTCTGAAAGAAGTACTGGGGTAAATATGGTCTCCCTGCCTTTGATCTTTAGGTGGCAACAACTTGTGAGACAGCTGCCACAAGATGGAAAGGTTCTGGTGCCCTCATTTCACAAGCAATCCCATTGAAATGAGTGGGACGTTATGTGCTGTAATTTGCCCTTGCTCATGCACAGAAGCTGAGTGTCACCCTACCACAATAGTGGCAGTATGGTGTTTGCTGTTGCTGTTCTAGGGATATTGGCCATTAGCCCAGAAGAGAAAAGAACACCCTTAAGTGACTGGCTTCTTCATGAGGTGTAAGTGTAACCTACTTTCTGCATCAGAAAAAATGAACACTGAGAGCCTGTCTCTAGTTGTCATGCAGTCTTGTGCAGCCTGTTTGAAGTCAACTAAACTTAATTAAAAAGGAATCCAGGTTTCTTAAATGCTCTCTTAAGACCTGGTAAGCCATTGAAATATTGTATGCATTTAAAAAACAGAACAAGAATAAAAATCCCGCCATGAGATGAGCTGTCTTGAAGTGAAAATTCAGTTGTGACCCGAAGCGTCATTGAGGCTACCATGCAGTCAGAGAGTATAAGAAAACCCAAACCTACTTACATTGCCTCCTGCAGCCAACCCAGCTATATTCTGTTCTGGAATATTTCTGGATCTGAAAAAGCAGGTCTTTTAGACAAACATAATCCTTACACTTAAAGAAGCATGGGAATTACCCTTTTCTTTGAGAGAACAAAGGGCTGGAGGAGAGAAGCAGATCAGCACCTGTCCTTATCAGCTGTTACCCACCTACATTCCAGGGAGCTGTAATTTGACCCTAGCATTTTTCCTTCTTCTCCCTTTCGTGACTAACTCATATGATTCTTTATGTGAACTTCTAGGAGGTAGAGCTTCTTGCCTATTTGTAATACAGCTTCCTAAGACCTAATGGTACAGGCTCATCTTCTCAGTCCTGAAGAATCTTCGAATCTCTTGGGTGATTTTCACCAAACTTGGCAGGCTGGACTTCTAAGAAGTTTCATGAAATAATGCAACTAATGGAGAGAAACATTCTTTCCTCTTTTAAGGCAGCAGTGGCTTTAACTCGCAGTGTGAGTTTAAACTCCTGATTAAACTCTGTGAAATTGACGTGGGAGCTCAAGCCTGAGATACCAGCAAGAATTTGACTCCCTGCACAGAGGAACCACTTTGTCACTTTGAGCAATGCGCGTTTTGAAACCTCTGTTCTAAAATGCTAAAACATACGTGCTAGCTATCTCATTATTTAAGGAAAATGCTTTTAATTATTCACTTCTGTTTTAAATCCAGAGCTATTAATATCGTTCTAATCTCTATATTCCAGAGGAATCTTAAGCGTATTTGACACTGAAGGGAGAAATGTCAACATGTTAGTGAATAGGAAGTCTCTTTTTTCCCTTAAAAAAGGAAGGACATTTCTGACAAGCTATATCAACATTTTGCTAGTGTGGCCAGCCTTTTGCCCTCCTTTTCAGAATGTTTCCTGAACATACATGCTGAGAGTAGAGCTGACATATTTTTAATAGTCTGAGAGAATGCAAGGCGTTACAGCAACTTCTGTGGCTAGGTAATGTTTTCCAAGTGTTACCATTCACAAATACAATCAAAACTCTTCTTTGTCATTATGGCAATTCATCGCCATCAGTAATTTGTGTGGCGGTTCCCAGACACTTTCCTTGATTTGGTGTGCTCAAAAATGCTGCATTTTAAAAATACATTATCATAGCCCTCGAAGTGGTGAAGGCAGTAAGAAGGGAAGAAAGCAGGCAAAAACATGGGCATTAATGAATATTTTGTTGTCAAATATTAGCTCACAATTTTTAAAGTCCTGTAAATGGTGCTGGCTATCCAGTCTAATCAACTGTGCACTGAAGTACTTCATGATGTCTTACTTTTCATTTAGTCAGCACTCACATTTTGATGGCTTTTGTGTTAGGGTCAAGCACAAATGACTGTAGTAGCCATTGGAGCATGTGATCATGTTGCACAAAATACTACTTGAAACAAGACTTAGCTGCTGTACATCATCAATGACCCCATAAGTGCGAGAATGCGTATTCATTATCCTGTTAGTATTTATGCTTCTTTCCTGACTTAGCCATTCCTGCACCGATTTTCTCTCCAGCAGCTTACGAAATGAATCATCTATTTCAAATGTGCTTTCAAAGATAATTAAACAACATAATACCAAATAGAAGAAAGCCCAAGTAGAAGATAATGTTTCAGGCCTTTCATGAAATGAAGATAAATTTCTGTGTGGATACCTGTAGCTAACCATTTAGCACAGCTGAAATCCACTGTATTATGCAGGTTAAAAAGCAATAATCATGACTTCCACCTTCATTATTTATCTAGTCATAATCAGTGTTAAGCCCTATTCTAAGTAGTGACTTTGTGCATTTATATAAGCAGTTAAACCTCCACAGTTACTAGATCATCTTTGGCTGCTTCTTTTCAGATCATCATTGTCTTTCTGGCACAATAGCATTAGAAAATATTCTGTATTTCACTTGCAATAACAGAAAACACATTGATGCTTGCGCAGGTATAGCTGAACTTTATTCCAATTGTAATGCTTCTGCATTGTAAAACTTATAAAGCCTAACTGCATATTTACTGTATCTCTGATACATTTGAAGAAAGCTGACTGTTTGTCGTCACTTTAAAATTGAAACCATCAGCTCACTACCTTTCCTGCTGTAAATCTGGGTGATTGGGCAAGGAAACAACACCTAGGTTTTATTGTCTTTCTTCCAGGGATAATACTGATTATCCCTCTGATGTGTCTAAACCATAATATATGTTGGAATAGAGTTAAGTGTAAGACTTGCTTTTCTTTTCTTTTCTTTTCATTAAGGGAGCTGGATTTGAAGAGGCCAATCTATCAAAAAACAGCATGCTATGGGCACTTTGGGAGAGAAGAATTTACATGGGAAGTACCCAAAAAGCTTGTGTATTAAGCTTTTCAGAATGTTTCATGTAATTGACACGTGGTTTAATAATCAGGTAAAATTTCAAGCTGTTCAAGAAAAGACTGTACCTACTCTTTTTTAAATGACATTCTGTAGTTAATAGATTTACTGAAAATTATTTGTATTTAATTTCTAGCTCTCATAGTGGCTTTACACTTTAAATGCATGCTGCTCTATCTAACATACTCTTCAGCTTTGTCTTTGGTAATGTGTGAACAATTTAGGCCTTTGGCTGTGATCAGATATTAAGTCCACAGATGGTCGTAGAAGCTGAAGTCATTCCTGTTCTGCCAGGGAAGCCCACTGCTGCTTGCCCAGTTAACTTTGTACTGAAGTGGATGAAGTTGATGAGGTAACTTCCAACAGTTCCCTGTGAGAGGAAAGCAGTAATAGTACAAATTGCTGTAATTTGGGCCAGGACTTCCACGACTACAGCTTTAGTTATGGTCCTTGTAGTCAAAGCAAATTAGTAAAAATACCCATTTTGGACATTGTTCATTGTAACCCTAAATATATTTACCTATGAGGTAGTGTTATCTGTTTGCTTTTAACATTATAGTTTTGTAGGCATATCTGTCAAAACTGAACTTCTGTGTTGTAATTCTTTACTCATTTATAGTTACTCCTTCTCAAACTGAAATTTTCCAGGTCTGCATGAATTGGAATTGGCTGTATAGTTTCAATTAAGATTCATTTGGCCACTTCTGAAATGTAAAAAAAATTTGTAAAAAACACTCGGAAGACATTACCTTCCTTTGACTTCTCTGGCTGAAAGCACAAAACAGAGAGAGAGAATTCAAAATCATTTAGCTTCTCTTCAAGCTCTTCAAGAAGATGAAAAGGCTTCTATACAGAAAGTAGCGATTCTGGCAAGCAAATTTATCATCAAATTGTGAACTAAGACAGGATGCTGGAATGTTGTAACGGCTCTTTCTTAATACCAGGGAATTTTAATACACAATTAAGCAATATGGCTACTCCGTCCCCAGTAAGAGAAAAATACAGGCTTCAGTGGTAAGTCTAATCAAATGCAAGTAGTTGAACATAGCATTAGTCTTTAGCAAGTTTTAAAAAGCTGCTTCCTTTCACGTAAAGACTGATCGATGCACTGCTCCTTTGACAGACCAGGGCTGAAGCGAGGTCATTGTATAGCTGTACCTACGCCTTACATGGCCTGGTACAGTTAACCCGATCTGGCACAGTAGTGCTGCAGTCAGTCTTGTGACCTACAAAAAAGGCTTTTTTTTCTTTCATAAGAAACCCAAATTTGTTCCTGGAATAAAAGCTGCCATTCTTTTGTGGTTTTTTTTTCAGTTTTTTATTTAATGACAAGTTTTCCTTTTTATCACAGGACCCTGGACCTGTCTTTGCCTGAAACTAATCCAGTTTAGTATGCATATGGCCATGTAGGCATAAAACATGTCATTAACATTTACTAAAATTTGTTCAAATTGGTATTGTCTAGGAAATAGTAATGTAGCTTGCTAAAAATTTTGAAATGTCAGAATAACTTCCACTTTTAGTAATATAGGGGTACAATGTTTAAGTAGCAAGGCATTGCAGAGATCACTATACAGTAAACTGACTATAATGACCTTTTGAAAGAGATTTCAGTAAATGGGCATATATTCTCAATTTTACAGCTGTCTCAATTACAGCTAGTATCAATTTTACTGTCATGACAACCTTTCCAAAGTTAAATAGTGCTTTGGTAAGAAGCTGTGATGCTTTGTTTGTCACAGAAGAAGACCATTTTGATAAAGTCTCTTGTTAAATTTAACGAGGAAATTATTTGTTCAATGGAGGTGTCTCTTAATCACTGCTCACTGTAAAAAAAAAAGCAGAGCTTAGGCCTTCCTAACTGTTTGACAGCTGGACCTAGAAGAGGCAAATTGGACCACGGTGTATTTCAGGAAACAAGAACACATTTCTGCAACACTTCTTTCCCCTTGCTCTCTGGCTTCCTATAAATAGACTCGAGATCAAAGCTACAGATCTTTTCTTCAAGGAGTTGGATACTCTCTGTCTTCAGAGTACAAACCTTTCTTTTCCCTTGTTGTTGACTTGTGTTTCAAAGTAGCCAGGAGCACCAGCTGCAGAAGAAATCCCTAACCACATATTGGAAGAGGTACAGTATACATCCAATCTCTAGAGATCCTGTCTACAAATTTTAGCAAGTTTTCTAATAACTAGTGAATTAATTTTATTTACATAGGGTAGCTAATTTGCCCCATGTAAAATTTTCCTCAAGAACAGCAAAAGACATATGCCTTTTCTGAAGCAAGCAAAGTTACCTCTCCTAAATTTGTAGTGTCTAATCCGGTCAGAGACAAAACTATTGCTCCAGAAAATCAGTGAAGTAATTTTTTTCGAATGATTGGCATGTTTTCCTATCATCATTCTAAAAATGAATCACTTAAACTGGAACCTCAAAAATAAAAAAGGGTGCCCAATTCAGACATAAGCATTAAGATGGCAGTTATTGCTGAAAGTTTAACTAAATTATAATGTAGCCTACATCAGGAATCAATCAAAATATTTTTATTTCCAAATGTTGCAACTATTGCTTTATTAAACTTGTTATTTTAATATCAAATGAACAGGCTCTTCTTTGCAATATGTGGTTACAATATGTTATAAAAATCTCCCAAAATATAGTGGCTCGTAATCTGTGTAAGAAAAAAATTATAATCGCACATTGGAAGAACAACACAATAGTTTATGCATTGTGTTTTGCGACTTCATCCAAAGTAGCAGGCTGTATGGATATTCAGCTAATACAAAAAAGCTACATGAACGAAAAATGTGCATTGCAGAAAATTACTTCGGTATACCATACACTGTAACATGTAGAGATATTAGTGGCTGTTCTAGAAAAAAAATATTTCAAATAGTGAATTTGGATGGGCACTTCCAAAAGCCAATGATTCTTGCTGGATTGTGTGAAGCAGAATTAAACCTAAATCTTTCAAAAGGGCATAGTTTCACTCAAACCTAGACTAGCCAATTAGGGAAGAAAATGAATGAAACAGACGTGCCAGCTCAGCTCTGAAAGTGCCTTTCATATCTTTCTGGTCTCAGAAGAGATGAAGGGTCTCTGCATGGAAAATGAAGACATTAAATTAGGAAAGGTCAAACCTGTAATGTTTGCTTTGTCAGGATTAGCTTTGTGATTCATGATTTCAGAGTACATCACAAGAGCAGCTGCACTAAAAAATACAAAACTTGGAGACGTATTTAATCTTCCTTCCAAGATGTGCTTCTCAAATAGATTTTCAGCTGTGCTGAACCTAATAAACCCTATCTAGAGCCATGCAGACATTATTATATATGCCATTTTCCTAGCTATATTTCGATTAAATGCTATATAGAGAAATGCAAAGTAGAATGCTAATTCATTAGTGTTTAATTAATTTAATTCCTAAGGAGCTGAAAGCAATTACTAGAGTGGAAATTAAAGTGCATACCTTTACTGCATGCTAAGAGACAGAATGAACTTTTCGTTTAGTAATTCCCCAGTTTATAGCTCTGCCCTGTCTTGACCTTATGATACAAAAGGAAATCCCTTCTTTACCACCTTCCCCACCCAGGATTTTTGGCCAGAGTGACTCCTGGCTCATTCTGGGTGAGGCTGTAGAAGGAAGAGGACTGGATGAGAGTTAAAATGGGAAGGCTGGAGTTTTTTCATCAGGACCTCAGCCATCCTGTAGCAGACCAGTGTGGCTGTCAGAACTGGGATGCAAATTAGTAACAGATGGCACAACCTTGTTTTCCTCTGCTTTTCAACAGGGATGATGCCAGCATAAAAATGGATAAGCCTTACTGCCTTTAACAACTTTAAAAAAAAAAAAATCCATAGGCCTCTCAAGCTGCATAAATAAAAAGAATACATTACTCTTTTTGGCCAAGTACCGTTAAAAACTGGAGCATTTTACCACTCTTTTGTCTCAGCAATAAATAAAAAGGTCAGCCCCACTAATGGAGAGCCTTCTAGACAGCTGCACACATTTCAAACCGCATCTTACTTAGTGGTCGCTTGACCTCTCCAATATAGTCCTGGATATTTAAAGACAGGTCAGTAAAATATTACCCAGGCATTCTTTTAGACCTTTTGGCCAGAAAAGCTGCATCTACATCAAGGGTCTCCTAGCATACCTGCAGTAGTTGGAGTGCCAAATCCATCCTGATTTTTTCAAATGTAACAAACATTCCAACTACATTTTTTCTTATATTCTTTCATGTGTAACAGATAGTTACTGCTCCTGCAATCTTTGTTAGGACAAACTCCCACTGTAAGCTATGACTGTCCTATTTGAACAATTTCAAGCAACTAGAGGAATTGTACAAATCTTTAGGTTGAGCTTTTATTACCAGACTTCACACTTGGTGCCTATATGCACTTGAGTTTTGGACTGAAGTTTTGGATTATTTGTGTCAAGATCCTTTCTCAAAAGTCAAATTAAATCTCTCTTGCATAAGTAGTAGAACTGCAAAGTTTTAAATACAATCAATTTTCACTGATGGAATTTTATTTGCTAATTTGTATACATTAAAAATGTACATATTGATAGACAAGATTCTCAGAGAGTAGGTTTAAGGGCATTTCAAGCAGGCATAAGCCTGTCCTGCTGTTGAAAAAATAAACAGTCCTGCTGCCTTGTCATCCTCAGATGTTTCTTCCAGCCCTTGGGACGTCTCTTCTGCACTGAGGTAAACGTGAGGCTTAGCAGTGAAACAGTCAGGGAACTGGCCATGTTAAAGCTGGTTAGCAAAAAAAAACCCAAACAAAACCAAAAAAGAGGTCATTTTAGCCCAGGTCAATCAATCTGTTACTGAAGATAGGACAGAAACCTCAGTCTTCATTTAAGCTGAAGTATGAGTTTTAGTTGCCTCATATGCCATCTGCGACAGAGTCCTCCTTTTGGTTGTAAGAAAAGTTGCTAACATAAAATCCAGACCTTCAAACACAGAAGGATTGTTTCTGTGGT